TTTATGTAGCATCTACTATGTGCCAGGCACTGTGTTAAGTGCTTTACAAATATGATCTCATTTGATCCTCACAATCCCCTAGGGAGGTAGATGCTATCATTATCCCCATTCTACATTTGAGGGAACTGAGGCCAGCAGAGGTTAAGTGAATTGCTTAGAGTCACATGGTTGGTAAATGTCATGGAAGAAAAGGGAAGAATGTGTCCAAGGAAGATAGCATCATAAACAGTATCAAAAGCTACAGAGAAGTAAAGTAGAATGAGAAATGAGAAAAAGTCTTTGGTTTTAGCAGTGAAAATCATTGAGGACCTTGGAGAAATCAGTTTAAACTGAGTAGTGAGGTTGGAAGCCAGACTGAAAGGAGTTAAAAAGTGAGTGGGAAGTGAGAAGTAGTGGTAACAAGTATATCCAACCCTTTCTAGAAGTTTGCCTCTGAAAAGGAGAAAAGATACAGGACCATAGATTTAGGGAATGACAGGATCAAGTGAAGGTTTTTAAAGATGGAGGATATCTGAACACTTTTATAGGTGTAAGAAAGAAGCCAATGGATAAGGAAAGTTTGAAGATGAGATGAAATTGTTGAGGTGACAAGCTCCTGAAGAAGATAGGAGAAGATTAGATCAAGAACACAAGTAGTAGAATTAACTTGGCAAAGAAAAGGACAAGGACTACCTCTTCATCAAAGGTGTTTGTTGAAATGAAGTACCCACTATTTGTAAAGAAGAAAAACCAAGAAACTGTACCTTCCAGCCTATACAACCACACTTTTTTTTTTAACCCAGGATGGAGGGGAGGGAGAGGAGATGAGAATTTTTATTTCATTGGTATAGGGAACTCCCAGCGAGGAAACTCTACCAAATAAGACCAGAGACTTCTATGCAATTTATGGTCTTAGAGCTCTACATAGTGCATCGAGAAATAAAATAACTTACCAAGGGGCACGCAGCCAGGGTATATCAGAGGTGGGAGTTGAATCTCATTCTTCCTGACTCTGACACCAGTTTACCTCCCTGCATCCCCACCCCCAATACATATTCCAAGTTCTGGAGTCAGAACTTAATGTTATCAATCTTGTGGGTTACACTAACTTTTAAAAGTCTTACTGGTATGGGGACCCCCCCCTTCTTCCCCTTGACCTTTGGTCAATAAATGATTGTTAGCTAATCTCTATGTCAATCACTCAAAATGCATTTATAAAATACATTTAGCCCCAGGGACACTAAAAAGGCATCATAATAGGTTCCAGGCCTTCTAGTTTTGTTGAAGAATCGATAGGCAAATGCCAAGGATTCTTTTGCCTGGATAAATGTTTGGAAAAGTGACACAAAAAGTGTTTCAACAACCTGGTAGTTTTAGAAAGCAGGAAAAAACAGGTATTGGAAAACTAGTATTTGGAAGGAAGCTATTTTAACAATATACATTTAGAATTGTAAAGGACGTGAAAAGTCATCTAGTACAATCCCCTGATTTTACAGTTGAAGAGCAGAGGTCCAGAAAAGGAAACATTTGAAAATCACATGTCCTATTAATGGCAACTTTGGGGTGTCACAGGCTTGGATCCAGAAGGAAAAAAAACAAAGCAATTTCATGAGGCTTTATATAGACATCTTAGTCTTTCACTCAGATACATGTGGGTCTGACTTTAAAGTGATATTTTATGAATAAAATGGTAGGATCTCAGAACAGAATGAACAAGCAGAGCATCTTGGTACACAATACCTCTCTTCCCCATAGAGGAAGCAGTTACAGGTTGCCCAAAGAAAAGTGAAATCACACAGAATCATAGATCTTTAGAACTAGAAGAAATTTAGAGAGAAGTAAATTGCAAGTATATTAATTTTAGATTGTCATAACAATTCCATCAAAAGCCAAAATAAATGGTTTTGTTATTGTTATTTCTATTTACGTTCAAACAAAAGGACCAGTGATTCACCCTATTCAGTTTTCAGTCTTCTAATTGGTCATTTATGGTCCTCTGGGATCTAGACTCCAGGTCAAGGGTTCCTATAGTCCAAGAAGATACAAGTGAACCTTATTATTTTAGGATTTATAGGTAAAACTCTCATAGACTCTTGACATCGGAAGAGACCTCAGTGGTCATCTGGTCATGTTTTTACATGAATGGCATTCATTTCTACAGCATCCTTAAGAAGTACTCAACCAGGAATCAGCCTGAGGACCCATAAGAATGGGGAAGCCACTATCACCATTCTAGTTTTCAGACGGCTCTAATTTTTAAAAGTTTTATTTTTATTATTACATTGAACCAAAATCTTCTTCTTGGGAACTTCTGCCATTATTTTTGTTTTCTAAATTCAAACTGTCTACTGAAACAACCATATCTTTTTCACTCAAAATCATGCCTCATCCATCCTATGCTTATGCTCTTGATTACATCTCTGTTCAGGTTTCTAAATGCTTTGTAAAAACTAAGGAGTCTATGTTTATAGAGGAAACTAAGATCATATTTGATTTTTTTTTTAAGAAGAGAATTAACAAACCATGAAGATTAAAATATGAGAACCAGGCTGCACAGAAAATCTTATCATCATATAATTCCAGTTAGGGAACTGAGAGTAGGGCATAACGTTTGAGAAATGTTCTTGGAATTTTTTTGATTTTTATTTTCAGTTCCAAATTATCTCCCTCCTCGCACCCCTCCTCCACCCATTGAGAAGTCATGAAATATGATACCCATTATAAGGAATATACTTGGAAATTAACTTCACGTAGGAGTGGAGGTGATGGTAGAGGTGTAGGAGCGGTTTGCTCTACTTGGCACATGTCCATGATAAAGGTAATGTCATTATGGCTACCTGTTGCCAAATGAGAATAATATTGGGACCCAATGAAATGACTTTTCCAGCCAATAAACAGCTTAGGCAGAGTGCCTTGGAGAGTGGATGCCCAAACCTATAGCAAGGTTGTTGAATGGCTAGGCTGAGGCATTAAGGCTTGGTAACTAACCCTGAGAAAAGAGTTTGTGACAATCACAAACTCAGAGAAATCTAGACCTGAAGTTAGAAAAAAAGAAGTACGATATACCACTTTGGCTAACAGCACAAAGGCCTCCAGGGTGTAAATGCTATATTTAGAGGTAATGAAGCTAAAATCTGATGATAACCTGAAGAGGCAGAGCCCTGGCTCTAGAACCCCATTGTCAGAGCAGTCTTTCCTAAAAGGTGAATTTGCTGAGAGAATTTAGCATGGATTAAAAGAACTAATCCCTGGCTAGGTCACAGGCTGATTTCCCAAGTGGAATCCTATGAGGAGAGCTGGGAAATGGAAGCAACAGGTGCAAAGCAGTGTTTCCTGGGAAACCTTAATTTAGATACTCCGAGACCCAAAGACAGGGCTTCTGGCAGCAGAGAAGAGCTGATATTGTACACATTAAAATGACATTATGCGGAAGGAAAGTGCTAAGGAGTGCCTAACGAGCCTCCAGAGGAAGGTTCTGTGGTTTCAGCAGTGTGCAAAAGGGCTTCCTGTTCCAAATGATCTCTTCTGACTGCAGACTGATGATTGAAGTGACATCATTACCTCTCTAAGACTGGGCTTCGATCTTGCTCCTTGACACTTTTAAGCTAGTACAAGTAATTTATACTTGAGGGTGAATAAAATTCACATGCTTTCTTGATTTTTTAAAAAATAGACAATCTCAAATTACTCATTTCCTAAGGTCAAAGTAGTAAGGAAGTGACCTGAGTGACAGAAGGAAAGAATAAAGGATTTTTGGGTGCTTGAGGCAATGTTGTTCAGTCCTATCCAACTCTGTGACCCCATTTGGGTTTTTTTTTTTTGACAAAGATACTTGAGTGGTTTGCCATTTCCTTATCCAGCTCATTTTACAGATAAACAAACCGAGGCCAACAGGGTTAAGTGACTTGCCCAGGGACACACAGCTAGTAAGTGTCTAAGGCCAGATTTAAACTCAGGAAGGTGACTCCAAGCTCAGCACTCTATGCACTGTGCTACCTAGCTGCCCAAGACAAACTCCTTTACAATTTCTCCCCAGGCCTGCCTGCCACTGGGGACTTTTTCATGAACTAAACTTTTGGACTATAAAAAATAATAAGCAGTACTTGTGGTGAGTTGCTATAGTATTTTGGATGACTAGAATTTTCCTGTGCACATGATAATAGCTGTTCTTTTTCAAATAAACCTTCCCTTTGGCACATTACAGCCAGTGTGCTTGCTAGTAAGTGTTTTAGTGTTTATCCTATTGGGCTTCCCACAGGAGATATATTTTCTTTCTTTTTTTTAAAAAATTTTTATTTTTTTGCTTTTAGGCAATTGGGGTTAAGTGACTTGCCCAGGGTCACACAGCTAGTAAGTATTAAGTGTTTGGTCCGAGGCCGGATTTGAACTCAGGTCCTCCCGACTTCAGGGCCGATGCTCTATCCATTGTGCCACCTAGCTGCCCCCTAGGAGATACATTTTCTAGGCTTTAGGTGAAGGGCAGAAATGAGACACCACTGAAAGAAGTTACTAGAGTCCTTTAGATCATAAGAGCCCTTCAGGTGAGGGTGAAGTGCAACAAAAGTCAAATTCGAAAAAAATTTAGATGTCTCCTATACAACCTTACTGGCCCTTCTTATCCCCTCCATCTTCCTTTGTGTGCAAACATGGAATTGATCTCTTGATTTAAAAGATGGCTTTACACAGAATGTGGGAGGCTCTATGGGCCCAATAGAGGTTCAGAACAAGGCAAATTCCTTAGGGAGGTGTGGGTAAGGACAGGAAGTGGAGAAGGAAGAAATGAATCTAAGAAATCTAGTGGAGAAAGAATGACTATTACTTGGTGTTAAATTGGATGGTGGAATGTTGGAGGATGGGGGAAAGAGGGTTGAAGGGAAGAGATGAATGAAGAATTATTCAAAGGTTGTTTCCCATGGGGTTAGTGTTCCTTGGATGGGCAGACTGATGGGGTCAGGGCTGAGTTTTGATCTATCTAAAGAGTACCATGAGTGTATTCTCTGACAAAAATCTCCTATCCTTAGAAAATGGCTCCAGCCAAGCCAGCTGACAGAGAGAGCTTTCTACAGATCGTAAATCTGGCCAAATCAGATGTGAAGATGATAATGCAGAGCAATCAGGGTGATACCTTGTTAGCAAAGCCCATGAAGGCCTTTCAGGTAAGGGGAGGGGAAGGGAAAAATGAGATGGAATGGAATGGGTTGGGTTGATTTTGTAGTAAGTTGTATTGTATCTTCCCCATCACCATTATCACACTTCAGCCAAATATCCTAATATCTTAATTTGCTGGTCTCTAGAGCATGGGTTCTTAATTTTTTTTTTGGTCATGGACCTTTTTGACAATCTGGTGAAGCTTATGGACCCCTTCTCAGAATAATGTTTTTAAATGCATTAAATAAAAGAAGGGTTACAAGAGAAACAAATTATATTGAAATTAAGATGTAGTTTTTTCTCATCTAAATTTATGGATCCCCTGAAATCTGTACAGGCATTCTTGGGGATCCATTGACCCTAAGGTAAAAACCCTTGTTCTGGACACCTTTGAATGAAAGAGCAGGTAATGAGAATTATGAGTATACCTTTTTTAAATTACAAAACTGTCATTAATTAGGGAAAGTTATTTATCTAGGGTTAGAAGTGTGAAACATAACCACAGGATATTAGAGCAGGAGATCATCTACTCCAACTCTCTCATTTTTAGTACAAAATTTAGTCTTTACAGAGAATTATGGAATTGAACTAAGGTGAGTTTATGCTAATAAATAGCTAACGCCACAGATAAGGTCCAAAATGTAGATGTACTGGTGTGGCATTGCCATGTCTACTCTGTGTTTTTTTTTTCTTCTTGGTTAGGCAATGGGGTTAAAGTGACTTGCCCAGGGTCACACAGCTAGTAAGTGTTATGTGTCTGAGGCTGCATTTGAACTCAGGTCCTCCTGAATCCAGGGCCGGTGCTCTATCCACTGCACCACCTAGCTGCCTCCCAAATTTTTTTCTTTTTTTTAGGCATTTGGGGTTAAGTGACTTGCCCAGGGTCACACAGCTAGTAAGTGTCAAGTGTTTTAGTCTGAGGCCGGATTTGAACTCAGGTCCTCCTGACTTCAGGGCCAGCCATGTCAACTCTGAAGGCAGGATGGGAACATCAGAATCATTAGAAGACATTTGGCATCAATATTTTGGATCCCCTTTGTAAGGACTCACAACATTTATGAACTAAAGGAAGCAGTAACTATTCTAATAGGGCACTGTGACTGAGGAAGTGACATTAGACATTTCTGCACCTACTCAAATGGCATGGCTCTGTAAAGGAGTAGTGTCTTAATTATTGAAAGCATATTAGCTGTGAGGAGCAGAAGAAAGGAAGGATGTATTCCCTTCTTTGTACAACAGGCACTAGTATGGTTTACCACCAGATAATATCATGGTAGGGATTGTGATACTTTCGAGTTCCTGATTGTTTTTTTTTTTTTTATTCCATCTGAGTGTTCATAGTTGTAAGCTGCAGTGATTTAGAGTAAGGTTTTGGTTGGATCTTTTGGAAATTTTTATATTTTTTTCAAATTACATGTAAAAATTTTCTAATATTGCTTTTTTAAAATTTTGAGTTCCAAATTTTCTCTCTCTCTTCCCTACCCCCTCATTCACAGCAATTTAGTGTAGATTATACATGTGCAGTCATATACAACATATTTCCATATTAGCCATGTTACAAAAGAAAACAGAAGCCCCCCACACACAAAAAAAACCCCAAGAAAAATAAAGAAAGTTTAAAAAGCATGCTTTGATCTATATTCCATAAATTTTGGCATGTCATTCTCTTTAATGAAATTATTAATGTTTCTATGATTTGTTTTTTGACGCACTCTTCTTTAGGATTAGATTATTTAGTTTCCAATTAACTTTTAATCTATGTTTCCACATTCCCTTATTGAATGTAATTTTTATTGCCTTGTGATATGAAAAGGATGCATTTAATATTTCTGCTTTCCTCCATTTGGTTGTAAGGTTTTTACGCCCTAATACATGGTCAAATTTTGGGTAGATGCCATGTACTGCTGAGAAAAAGTTATATTACTTTCTATTCCCATTCAGTTTTCTCCAGAGGTCTAACATAACTAACTTTTCTGACATTCTATTTATCTTCTTAACTTCTTTCTTGTCTATTTTATAGTTAAATTTATCTAGTTTGGGGAGGGAAAAGTTGAGGTGCCCCACTAGTATCGTTTTACTGTCTTTTTTTTTCTCCTCTAACTCATTTTACTCTTAAGTATTTCTCTTAAGAATTTGGATGCTATACCATTTGGCGTTTATATGTTTAGTATTGATATTGCTTCATTGTCTCTGGAAGTTTTTAGCAAAATGTAGTTTCCCTGCTTATCTCTTAATTAGATCTAATTTTGCTTTTGCTTTGTCTGAGATCATGATTGCTACCCCTGCTTTTTTATTTTAGCTGAACAAAGCACAATAGATCTAGCCCCTTCCCCTTACCCTGTGTGTGTGTGTCTCTGCTTGAAGTGTGTTTCTTGTAAACAACAGATTGTAGGATTCTGGTTTGTAATCCACTCTACTATCTGCTTCCATTTTATGGGTGAGTTCATCCCATTCACACTCACAGTTCTGATTATTACAGGGCCTATTTCCCCTGTTTATCCTTTTTTCCTCTCTCTTTCCTTTCACCCTGTCCCTCCTCAAAAGTGTTTTGCTTCTAACCATGACCTCCCCCAATTCACTATCCCTTCTATCAGTTTCCTCCTTATATTGCCCCCCTCCTACTTCCCTATAGTCAAGATAAATTTCTATACCCAGCTGAATATGTATGTTATTCCAGTGAGAGTAAGGTCCTAAAGTTGCCCACAACTCCTACCACAAACATCTTCCCCCCCACTATAAAACCTGTTTCTCACCTGTTTTATTTGAGATAATTTAACCCCATTCTACCTCTCTCTTCCCCTTTCTCCCAATGTATCTCTTTAATTTAATTTAATTTTGGGGGGTATCATCCCATTATAGTCAACTCACACCTGTGCCCTCTGTCTATGTATGTTCCTTCTAACTTCCCTAAGAATTATAAAATTCTTACGAGTTATAAGTATCATATTCCCAAGTAAGAATGTAAACAGTTTAACCTTATTGAATCCCTTATGATTTTTCTTTCATGTTTAGCTTTTTATATTTCTCTTGAGTTTTCTGTTTGAATGTTACATTTTCTATGCAGTTCTGCTTCTTTTATCAGGAATGCTTGAAATTACGTTTTTCCCTTGAAGGATTTACTTGGCTGTGCTGGGTAGGTTCTTCTTGGTTGTTTTCTCAGCTCCTTTACCCTCCAGAAAATCATATTCTAAGCCCTCTGCTTCTTTAATGTGGAAGCCACTAAATCTTGTGTGATCCTGACTATGGCTCCACGATATTTGAATTGTTTCTTTCTGGTTGCTTGAAGTATTTTCTCTTCGACCTAGGAGCTTTAGAATTTGGTTTATATTATTCCTGGAAGTTTTCATTTGGGTATCTTTTTCAGGAAATGATCAATGGATTCTTTCAATTTCTATTTTACCATGTGGATCTAAGATCAAGGTGATTTTCCTTGATAATTTCTTGAAACATGATGTCTTGGCTCTTTTTTTTATTATAGCTTTCAGGTAGTCCAATAATTTTTAAATTATTTCTCCTCAATCTCTTTTCTGGGTTAGTAGTTTTTCTGATGAGGTATGTCACATTTTCTTTTATTTATTCATTCATTTCATTGTTTTATTATTTCTTGATGTTCATATAGTCATTAGCTTTTACTTGCTAAATTATAATTTTTAAGGAATTATATTCTTCAGGGAGATTTTGTACCTCTTTTTCTATTTGGTCAATTCTGCTTTTCAAGGTGTTCTCCTCAGTGGATTTTTGTATCTCTTTTACCATTTGGCCAATTTTGTTTTTTATTTTTAATATTTTTCATTTTTTGTGTCTCTTTTCACCAAACTGTTAACTCTCTTTTCATAATTTTCTTACACTACTCATTTCTTTTCCCAGTTGTTCCTCTACCACTCATCTCTTTCTTCAACTCTTCCAGGAATTCTTCTTTTGATTGGGTCCAATTAGCATTTTTTCTTTGTGGCTTTTTGTAGCTGTTTTAGCATAGTTGCCTTCTGAGTTTATGTCTGGGTTTTCCCTGTCACTGCAGTAGCTTTTTATGGTCAGATTATTTTTTTATTAATTGCTCATTTTTCCAGTCTATTTCTTGACTTTGAACTTTATATCAAAGTTGGGCTCTGCTGACTGGGCCTGGGGAGGTATTGTGCCAAGCTTCAGGCTTTTTCATACTGCTTTTTTCAGAGTGAGTCTGGGGTCTGCAGTTTTTCTCGTACTTCCAAAGTGGTGGTATCCTAGGAGAGGCATGATCACTGCTGTCCTAGTCAGTGCTCTAGTCTTTATCCAGGAAGGGATCTGTTACCCTGCAGCTTCATGTGCTAGGCTCCTTTTCGCTTTGGTATTGTAACCAATTCCCTGTTCCCTTGTGACTGACCATCAGTGTTCCTCTCCACACTGGAACTGTGATCTAGAACTCTGTATGGAAAAGAGTTGCCAGTCAATGCTAACTGTACCCAGTGCCAGCAAAGGATCCCCTATTATCTCCTTCTGCCCAGTTGTCTGACCTCATATCTGTCTCTGAGCTGAGAGCTCCCAAAGCTGCTGCTGCTGTGGCTGCTTTTGCCACTATTGTTTGTGTGCGCTTCAAGGAGTCCTTTACCTCAGTGTCACAGATTTCTCCTGCTGACCTCTTAAGATTTTTTAGGCCAGGAAAAATGTTTCACCCTGGTCTTTTTTTTTTGGCTCTGCCACTCCAAAATTTTACTTTGAGGCCTTATTTTAAATTTCTTTGGAGTGGAATGTTGGGAGAATTCAGCTATGTGGCTACCCCTAATCCACCATCTTGGCTCTGCCCCTTTCATAATTCAAAGTGGTTTTGATACAATAAAGTTTAGACCCTTTGAAGATCTGTTTTTCTATTGCCTGTTTATTGATATGCAACATGCAGGCAAATATATGTGGAAATGTCGGAGACAGTTTTGAGTAGATATCAAATTGGATTTGCCTGTAATTGGAATAAAAAGGGAGATACTTTTGCCCAGAAAACATAGGATTCCTTTGTAGGATATGGATTTCAGAATCTGAATGCACAGCTCAAAAAAGAAAAATAAGTTTATATAACATTAATAACTAACATTTATATATTGTTTTAAGGTTTACAAAGCACTTTATGTTTTTCCTTTGGTCTTCACAACAGTTCTGTGAGGCGGATACTATTATTATCATTTTACAGATGGAGAAACTGAGGCTGAGAGAGGTTAAGTGATTTACCCAAGGTCACATAGCTAATAAGTGTCTGAGGCAGGATTCTAATTCAGATCATCCAGACTCCAAGTATAGCACTTTTAACACCTTCACCACCTACCTGTCTTCTATATTTAACTTTTAAGGAGTAAATGAAAAAAGCATTTATTAAGCACTTACTATATGCTAAGCACTCTACTTACCATTTGGAACTAAGAGAAAAAGATGATCCCTGCCCTCAAGGAGCTTATGCTCTAATTGAATATGACAACACATATAGGAGGGCCCAGATGCAGAGCATAAGGTCTTAGGGTTTCAGTGATAGGATTGATGGCAAGCCCCCCAAGAGTTCTAAGGATGCATTAGGGTATCTACCCTAAAGAGCTAGGAGTGCCCCACCAACAATGGGAAAGAGAGAGAGAGGGAGATTCTGGGTTTCTATTGATAAGGGTACGTATGTAAGTTAAGGGGGAGTGTCTGATGAAAAGGCCAAAAGGGGAAAGGAGAATTTGCAGGAAGGTTGAAAGAGGGCTTGGTAGCACCCCAGGGTGGGGAAAGGGGAGAGCAGACCTATTTTATAGCAGGTCTGGCTGGGTCCCTTACGGTGCTCTGGCAATATAGGTCTGGGGTGGCCTAGGGTAGAGAAGGAGCAGGTCTCGAGATAGATAGGAATTTACGGAAAGTAGATTACAAACTGCCTTTGCTGTTTAGGCAGATCTATGCACCCTGCTGCACATATCTCTGCACCCTCTCTCTTCATCCCTTTATGCTCACATGAAACCCAGAAGGGAATAAAGATAGAAAACCTAATGAGTTTATGGTTACTTTCTCTACAGCAATCACCAAAATATTCCAAACTCCTTCTGAACACTGAGAGCCAATGTTTCCAGTTTCAGCTACAGTCCAGGAGCTCATCTGTCAGAAATGAGCATGTGGTGGAGGAGAAGAGCCGATATAGCTTGGTCATTCATGGAGATGGAAACAGAGTCTCCAGCATCCTGGTGAGGGCTGAGACATTCAGTATGCTCTCCTTCATGGGCATACTGAAGTCCTAGAGATATGAGGTATCTAGTATATTAATTCTTTGGCAGGGGCAGCTGATAGGCATTGTGTCTCTAGGGAGGCTGGCTTCTCAGGGCCTGGGAAGTTTTATTAATGCATTCATTAATTCATTGTTTATGGAATCAATCAATGAGCTATAGTGTATATCCTTTACACTGACAAGTTTGCATTGGTCAAGTCTTCACAACACAGAGTGAATCAAAGGATTGAACAGTTATCTGGTAATTAAGATAGTTAACCCAACTCCCTGAAAACCATAACCAAACAAAAAACCTGCTCTGTATTAAAAAATTATAAGTGAAAACTGCCCCAAACAAAGTGAAAACAGAATGAATGCACCAATTACCTCCAGAAAGAAACTCTAAAATAAAAATACTCAGGAATGCTATAGCCCAAATCTAATGCTTCTGAATTAAAAAAAAAAATACAATAAGCAGGCAAAAGGGAAGAATCCAAGAACCAAGAAACTACAGTCAGGATCACACAAGACTATTGCAACTTTAAGAAAAGAAAAAATTAAAGAAAATCTTTAAATATAACTTATTTAAAGAAACTTTTAAAATACAACACATTTAAAGATGAAAATTTACAACATAGAATAACTTACCATGAAAAACTGAATATACTCCTATGGGGGGAAATGGACCTTTATAGACCAGAAGACTTTAAAGCATTTCTGTTTAAAAGACCAAAGCGAGGTAGAATTTTTAAAATGCAAACCCAGAAGTTAAAAGTAACCCAGAAAAGTGCTGGGATGCAACTACAGCAGTTTTTAGGGGAAATTTCATATCTCTAAATACTTTCATCAACAAAAGAGAGAAAGACTTTATCAATGACTTTTTGCATGTAACTAAAACAAAACAACTGTGAGAAAACCTCAGATTAACAACAAAAACCCCAACCAGACATAAATAAGAAATTCTAAAATCGAAGAATAAACAAATTTGAAAACAGAAAAACCCTTGAATCTGTAACTGAGTTTGAATTGTAAACTAAGAGCTGCTTTTTAAAAACTAATAAAATAGGTAAACCACTAGTATATCTGTTTTTTTCTTTAAAAGAGATAAAACTAATCAGAAATTTCTAATCAGAAATAGAAAAAGGAGAATTAAGAAAAAATGAATGAGAAATAAATGGAAATTACTAGAAACTACTTTGCCTAATTACATGCCACCAAAACTGTTAAGATGAATGAATACGTACAAAAATATAAATCACTCAGATTAGAAGAAGAAATGACCCAATCTATAAAACCAAAACCAAACAAAAGGAAAAACAATGAAGAAGTCATAAAGATAATAAAAAAGAAAAATAATTCCAAGGCCAGATGGATACATGTGAATTCTATCAAACATTCAAAGAACAGCCAAATCTAGTATTATATAATTTTTTTTCATTGAACTCTTGAAACTCCTTCCATGAGACAAGTACAGTCTTGTTTTCTAAATCAGGGGGAGATAAGACAAAGAAAGAAAATCAGACTAATTTCCCTAATGAATATGGATTCAAAAATATTGAAAAATATCTAAAAGATTATACACTATGACCAGCTTATATTTATACAGGAATGCAGGTTTAGTTCAGTATTAGGAAAATTATAAACATAATGGAAATTATTAATAGCGATAATAAAAATTACATGACTACATCAATAGATGCAGAAAACGTTTTTGAAAAATATACCTTTTTATATTAAAAAAATATTTAAAAATTTAGGAACAAGTGATCCATTCCTTGAAATGGTTTATGTCTAAAACTTGAGAGCTAGCATTATCCTTAATGGAGAAATACAAAAAGTCTAATCAGATCAGAAGTAGGGGCAGCTAGGTGGCACAGTGGATAGCGCACTGACCCTGGAGTTAGGAAGACCTGAGTTCAAATCCGGCCTTAGATACATAACATTCACTAGCTGTGTGACTCTGGGCAAGTCACTTAACCCCAATTGCCTCACCAAAAAAAAAAAGTCAGAAGTAAAGCAACTATGTTCACTTCATCACTATAATTTGATATGACATAATTCTAGATATACTAGCCAGGGCAATAAAACAAGAAAATAACTTGAAAAAATAAGCACAAAGCAGAAACAAAATTATCACTTTTTTGCAGATAGTATGATTTGCTTAGAGAATTGTAGAGAGTTGACTATACATCAGTTGAAACAATTAATAACCAACAAAACCTAGCAGAAAAAGAAAGATAAATTCCACTCAGAATAACTATGGAATGTGTAAAATATCCAGAAATCCAACTACTAAGACATGGAAAGGAATTATATGACTATAACTGAAATCTTTGCAGAAATAAAAATGGACTTCAATAATTAGAGAGATATTGATTGCTCATGGTTTGATAGAACCAATAAAATGGAAATGACAATATTACCTAAATCAATTAACTTGTTCAGTGCTATACCAGTCAAACTACCAAAAGTTTTCTTTATAGAATGAGAAAAATAATCAATTCAGCTTGAGGTACACACAGTCAAGAGTTTCAAGGGAAATTTTTTTTTTAAATGGGAAGGGAGAGCCAAAGCAGCACCAAAGTATGTCACAAAGCATTAATCATAAAAAGTATTTGATACTGGTTTAAAAAATAGAACTGTTGATCAGTGGAACAGATAAGTACCCAGAAGCAATCAAATGTAGCAGCATAGTCCTCAATAAACTGAAAGACAATGACTATTGGGGTAAGAATTTAATATTTAACAAAAGCTACTGAAAAACCTGTAAAGTAGACTGGTCAAAATTAGGTTTAGACCAACATAATATACCATTTATCACAATAAGTCCTAAATGGATACCTGACCTAGATATAAAAGGTCATATCATCAACAAATTCAAGGAGCAGGGAAGTTGATACCTTTCATAATTGTGGTTAAGGTAAACTTTTTGGCAAAAACAAAGTATAGAGAATATCACAGGAGATGAAAAGACAATTTCGATTACATAAAATTAAAAATTATTTACACAAAATCAATCTAATTAAAATTAGAAGGGAAGCAGTTAACTGAGAAAAAATCTTTGTAACAAATTTCTCTGATAAAGGTTTAATACTATACATATGTATGTATTTATACATGAAACAAATATAAATACACATATATAATACGCATATATGTGGAATTGTTATAAATAAATAAGAATCCCATGAGATAAATGGCCAAAGGAAATGAATAAATGGTTCTCAGAAGAAAGGTAAACTGTTAACACAATATGAAAAACACTCTAAATAACTAATAATAAAATAAATACAAATTAAAACAACCATGAAGTTCCACCTCACATCCATCAAAATGGCAAAAATGGCAAAGAAGGAAAATGGCAGTTACTGAAGGGCTTTAGGAAACAACCTCTCTGATGTACTATTGATGGAGTGTGGATTGGACCATTCTGGAAAGCAATTTGAAACTATAACCAAAAAGTCACTAAACTATATATACCGTTTCTCTCAGCAATACCAGTATAGGGCTTATGTCTCAAAGAGATTAAAGAAAGAGGGCATGGACCAATATGTGCAAAAATGTTGGTAGTAGCATTTTTTTTGTTGTTGTGGCAAAGAACTGAAAACAAAGTAGGTGCCCATCAGTTAGGGTGTGCTTGAACAACTTAAGACATATGAATATAAAGGACTATTATTGCGCCATAGGATATTGGGAAAGGGACATGAAACTTGAAAAGACTTGCATGAACTGATGCAGAGTGGCAGAGTGAAGTGAATAGCACAAGGAAAAACAATTTATACACCAACCACTATAACATTATAAAGAAAAACAACTTTGAAAGAATTAAGAATATTGATCAATGACCACTTTAGAAGATTAATGATGAATCATGCTTCCCATCACTTGTTAGAAAGGTGATGAACTATAAGTGCAGAATTACACATACTTTTTTTTTTTTAGCTAGGCAATTGGGGTTAAGTGACTTGCCCAGGGTCACACAGCGAGTAAGTGTTATGTGTCTGCGGCCGAATTTGAACTCAGGTCCTCCTGACTTCAGGGCCAGTGCTCTATCCACTGCACCACCTAGCTGCCCCCAACACATACATTTTCAAATGAGGGTAATGTACAGGGATTTTTTTTTTCTTTGACTAGCCTTATTTGTTACAAGAAAAGGCTTTTATTTTTTAGTGAAAGGAATGCTTCAGGCCTGTGAGTGCAGACTTGCCTGCCTTTAAACTCTTAGTATATATTCTAATATAATAGTTTTTTTATAAGGCACCCTGACCCCAGATTCCTTTGCTATATACAGGTATGGACTACTACATGTCAACCTTTCTTCTATATTTTGGTTAGTTTTGCTAAACCATTAAAAAAAATTCCTCACCCCACTACAGTTTGAAGATCATACCCACCTAATAAACTTATTTTATTTTATTTGTTATAGATGAAAGACATGGGAACCAAACCAACCAATGGAATGGCAGCTGTGAGGTATGTATGATGGAATTCTGGCTCCCAGTGACGTGTTCTGAGTCTCATCTGTAGGGGTGCAGGTGGAGGGTTCTGTGCTGAGCAGGGGTGGTTGTCTCTGAAGCAGCAGGAGAATCGGCAAGCATGTCCCTGGGAAATGAAAGGACAGGAAGGACAGAACTAAAAGGCAGGTTGGCTTAGGATCATAGGAGGTAGCGTTGGAAGAGACCTTAGAGGTCGTATAGTTCAGCCACTACGTTTTGAAGGTGAGGAAGCTGAGGCCTCAAAAGTTCAAATGGCTTACCCAAGATCCCACAGAGCAGAGATCTGATTGCAGATCTTCTGAGGCTTAATCCAGTGCTGGTTTCTGCTATACTGCACTATGTCCCTAAAATACTTAATTTATAAAAACTGTGAGGTAGGGGCAGCTAGGGGTGCAGTGGATAGAGCACTGGCCCTGGAGTCAGGAGCACTTGAGTTCAAATCCGGCCTCAGACACTTGATACTTACTAGCTGTGTGACTCTGGGCAAGTCACTTAACCCCATTGCCTAGGCAAAAAAAGAGAAAAAAAAGACTGTGGATGTATATAGTGCAAGTATTATTATCTTCACTTTTTGGTCTTTGTTCAGTTGTTTCATTCATATCTGATTCTTTGTGACCCCATTTGGCAAATGATACTGGAGTAGTTTGCCATTTCATTCTCCAACCCATTTTATAGATCAAGAAACTGAGGCAAATAAGGTCAAGTGACTTGTCTAGGGTCACACAGCTAGTAAGTATATGAGGTTGGATTTGAACTCAGGTCGGATTTGAACTCCTCTTCCTGACTCTAGGCCCAGTACTCTATTCACTGAGAACTTAGCTGTACCCTTCCTTTATAGATAAGGAAAGCAAGACTCTGAGTGGTTGTTAAGTGACCTACCCATAGGAAGTGTTTGTAGTGGAATTTGAACCCAAGTTTCCTTAACCATGAGTCCAACACTATCCTTCTCATGAAATGTCCTAGAGAGGTCATGACAGAGCCCAATCCTGGAGTGATTGGCCTCCCCATCCTGGAGGCCCCTGTGCCCTGCTGCCTAAATCCCTCCTTCCTCACTTGGTCTATTTCTCATTGAAAAGGGAGAGCTACTGATAAGTATCCTGGAGAGGTACATCAAGGACCTTTGTCAGCATCATAGAGTCCAAGAGTTAAAAAAGACTCCAGGGGTTATCAAGTCCAACATATACCCAAGGCTTTAATCTGTTCTATAACATCTCTGCCAAGTGATAATCCAGTCTTTGTTTAAATGCTTCTAGCAAAGGGAAATTTACTAATTCCTTATTCATTTAGGAAGTCCTATTTAGAATTTTTTCTTATGTCAAACTGAAATCTTCCTTCTCTAGTTCCACTCATTGCCCTAGGAGAATTAGCGTGGTGCAGTAGAAATGGCCTTGGAGTCATCTCAAATTCTGACATGGTCTCTACCTGTGTGGCATTGAGCAAAAGTCATTTTGCCTCTCAAGGCCTCATTTTTCTCTTCTACAAGATGAGGATGTTAGACTAGATGCCTTATGGTCTTGAAGATCTAAATCTAAGATCCTACAATCCTAATTTAGATTTCTGAAGTCAATCAGAGTGCTGCATCCACTGTAACCCCAACAAACACTTCTTGAATACATGAAACTCGGTGCTGTGTAGTTCAGTTTTGATATGTGTGTATATATGCATATATGTATGTATGAATATATGTCTGTATATGTGTTTACATATGTATGTGTATATTTGTATATACACACAAAATCTGATCTGCCCAGCACAGTGTTCTGTTACATATATATGTATGTGTGTATTTGTGTATATATGTGTATGTGTGTGTGTGTGTGTGTATTTGTGTGTATATATATATATGTATATATACAGGGAATTGCATTTGTTCATTCTCCCCCTTCCAACCTGGAAAGTCTCTAATCTCTCTTCCAATTAGAAATTAGATTACTTAATTTTGTGTCCTGGTTAATTTTTTTTAATTAATTGGTCTTGTTTGATTGTTTTTAAAGCATAAAAATCTGTCTCTCCCTGTTTTCGGGCTTCAGCCCTAAGCTGAGGAAATCTGGGCCCGATTTGTTGTGCAGTTGTCATGCATTGCTTAGTAAATTGAGATGCTCAGAAGCTTGAACCTTTGTTTCCTCAGTCATTTCATCTTTCACATGCCACATGTACATATGTGTTAAATGAGTATATATACATATATCTAAAATGTTACACACATATATTCATATACACATACAACTAATATGTACAGAATGCTGTTCTTGCACAGTGTATATATGCATGTTACATGTATGTATGCACGTGGTATACATATGCATGTTACACACGTCTTCATACACACAGCTATGTGCGAAACACTGTGCTAGGCTGGTTAGATTTTATCTATGTATAATTTACATATGTATATATATGTATGTATATTTGTGTGTGTCAGTGCATACATAAATCTATCTAAAATAAAATATAGTCCATGTCCTCATGGAGCTCACAGTCTATTAAGGGACTATGATAATGCACCAATAAAAATAATTCAAAAATAATTTATGATTAGTAACTAAAAAAGGTACAAAGAAGGTGCTATATAAGGTTCAATGAAGTTGGAGTGGGATTGAGGGTTGTAGAAATCTTCATGGAAGGATGGTATAGGAGGGAAATTATATGTAGTGCAGTCCCATAGTGTGTGTCAAAGAGAGTAGTAGTTGTAAGACTGGAAAGGTAGAATGTAGGCAGTCTATGGAGGACCTTGAATGGAAATAGGGAGCCATTGAAAGGATTTGAGCAGAGAAGGGACATGGTCATATCCATGCTTGAGGAAGTTTAATCTAGCAATAGTGTGAAATTGATGAAATGTTAGAAGCAGGAAAATTGGTTGGGAGGCATCAATGAGACATCAAGGTAAGTATGTCTTAAATTTAGTCTAAGATGCAGATATGAAGTTTAGGAAAGGAGAAAGTTAGATGCCTAGGGATAATAATTGTAGTTGTTTGAATGAATGAGATTGACAAAGAGACAGTGTAGAGACAAGAGAAGAGGGCCTAGGACAGATCATGGCAAATAGCAACATTAGGGGCAAGTCAAGAAGAGGAACCAGCAAAGAAGTCAGAGAAATAGATTAGAGAAGAGGAGAATTGGGATAATGCAATATATTGGAGCCAATGCAATATATTGTAACCAAGGAAAAAGAGTATATCCAGGAAGGAGGCACTGATCGATACAGTCGAAAGTATCAAAGAGATCAAGGGGAATGAGGGACTGAGAAAAGGCCTTTGGACTTGGTGATAAGTGAGTCACTGACATCCTCTGAGGGAGCACAGGACAGAGCCCTCCAGCTTGTCCATATTACAATTGTTCAACTCTTTGAAGAAAGGTGTCATCACCCCTATGTATTTTCTCTTTCCCATGCTAAGTATCACCAGTCTTCATGACCAGTACTCAGTGACATGGTTTCACATTTCTTCACCATCTTGGTTGTCTTCCTCTTGACACACTCCGGCTTGTTATTGTTCCTTCTAACATGTAAGTGTATAGAACCAAACACTACAGAGGAAGAGGTCTGATCACCACAAAGCATAGGGTGATGTCACTTTCCTTATTCTGTTCATTATACTTGTGCTAAAACAACCTAACATTGCATTAGCTTTTTCTGCAAACACATCACACTGTTCATTCATACTGAGCTCATAGCGTAAGTCCTTTTTCTCCACATGAAGTCATTACATTTCATCCTGTGCTTGTTTTTTTAAAAACCTGACTGCTGAGTTCTGTTACATTTGTGCTTATTTAAATTTTATCTTGTTAGATTTAGCCTACACTGTATTTCTAACCTATTGATCCCTTTAGGATCTCAAATCTGCTAACCACCATATTTGCTATATACCAGGTAGCTAGGATAGGACAATGGATGTCAAGGATGCTAGACCTGTAGTCAGCAAGACCTTGGTTCAAATCCAGCTTGAGGCATTTACTAGCTGTGTGACCATGGGTAAACCACTTGATCTTTGCCTCAGTTTCCATGAGTATAAAATGGGGATAACAATACCACCTGCCTCTCAGGGTTGTTGTGAAAATTAAAGGAGGTAATATTTGTAAATTGCTTAGCACAGTGCCTGGCACACAGTAGGTGTTAAATATGTGCTTGTTTCCTTCCTTTAAAAAATGTAAATGAGATTACTCTGGCATCACTTAGCAAATCAGGCTGGTTCCTTAGAGGGTCACTCAAGTTCTACCTCTGTGTCAGTGAGAGTCTGTCTGATGCCATAACTCACTGTTTCTCTCCCCATTTACAGATTCGTTAACACTTTGGACAAGGAAGTGAATATCTCCCTGGGCAAAGACAACATTGTCACTGTTGATGAAAACTATAGCGTCTCTTCTTACAGAACTTTGGAAAGGGGAGAGTAAGTACCTTAACTTCAAAGATATTTATATGAGGGGAGGATATTTGTATAATGCTTCACAGGTATCACTGCATGGTCCACTTCCAGTTTTCCAGGCAGTTGCCAGCTCTTTTTACCACCATTCTGATAGCCATGAGGTTACTGTTTTCCTTGGAGAGTTGTCTAATCCTATGTTCTCCTTTCCCTCCACCCCTTAGATACCATTCTGTGCCATGCAGGACAGATGATGAGGAATTCTTCCTAGACCTGGGCCTGCTTGACTTTGGTGCAGCTTACACAGTCTTCATTGTTAAGGTGTAATGAGGGCACTGGATGTTGAAGACATTATCATTGGTCCTTGAGTCATGGTCAATAAATGGATACCAGGCAGCTAAGGCTGAATGTGGGATACATAGCTAGACATCTTCACACAGCTTTCCCGCTCCTACCCCAAAAGATAATAGATAATCATCTTGGTCCCCATGGTGTGCTTGTGATTTTTTTCCGTTTTATCTAAGGGGAGGGAGGTGGGGAGAATGACCTATTGTGTTTCACTGTGACTTGGTAAGGCAATATAGTATAGTGGAAAGAATATTACATTTGGAGTCAGAGGACCTGGCTTTAAATACTGTCTCTGCTGCTTTCTACCTGTGAGACCCAGGACAAATTATTTCTCTGATCTCTGAACATTGGTGTCCTCATCTAGAGAAGAAGCACTGGACAAGATGATCTCTGAGATCCCTTCCAGCTTTAAATTCCATTAGAAAATCTAAGAAAAAAAAGTTTGAGTGGGGTATAACTTAAAGTGAATAAATCTCAGCTCCCCACCATGAGGAGGCACCATGGGGCAGCTAGGGGCACAGTGCATGGAGTGTTGGCCCTGAGGAAAGAAGACTCCTTTTCCTGAGTTCAAATCTGGCCTCAGACACTTAATAGCTGTGTGACCTTGGGCAAGTCATTTAACCCTTTTTGCTTCAGTTCCTCATTTGTAAAATGAACTGGAGAAGGAAATAGCAAACTACTCTAGTATCTTTACTAAGAAAACCCCAAATGGGGTCACAAAGAGTAGGACATGACTGAAAACAACTGAACAACCACCTCTCCATGACCAGAGCAACAGGAATAGGACTAGAGTTAGCAGCCTAGCGACAAGGCATCACTGTGCCTTCAACATGTGGCATTCAATCAGTATACTTGGAGAGGCATCAGGGGATAGTGGGGAAGAGCAATGGGTTTGGATTCTAGATGCATTTGAATTTGAATCCCAGCTCTGACACATTACCTGAAAGCATCACTTTACGAGACTAGAAATAGAAAGTTGGAGTAGATCTGGTCATTAATTTTCCTCTATCCCTGCCAAATTATTGTTTTGCCTACAGAGTATGACTAAGTGCTTCCTCTACCTGGTTCATCATCACTATGACCCTGGAGAAGAAGATATCTGATGAATTAAAAACTACCGCCTCTACAAAATTGTGGCAAACCTCTATCCATTGATGTTAGATAGATGTGTGTAACTGGGATCGTTAATTGATGTGTCTCCTTTCTACTCTTTTGTAGAAGTCTGGAAAAGGCCCCTGGGCCTGGAAAACCAAGAACATTCCCGCCAACAAGGTGTCTATCTTATGGCAGGTGCCACAATATGTGCTTATCACAGCTGGGGAGGTCATGTTCTCTGTCACTAGCTTTGAATTCACATACACTGAGGTAAGCATTTCTAGCACCTGACTCTTGGGAATTGAGTGGAACAAAATGGGAATTCAGAGTTGATGATTTTGAGACTTGACACTTCCCCAACCAAATGCCCCTTCCCTTATCTGTGACCCTGCACAGAAAGCCAGCTCAGCCCTGCAGAGATATCTTGACACAGCGTATAAAGTCTGGCTTTAGGTAGAGTTCACCAAATATGAGACCAAAACCAAATCAAGGCAGTCATTTATCCAGTCTGTTTGATACAGAGGCCCCATGAGCCCTGTAGCTTCCTTGGTTACCTAGTTTTCTTGTGTTCTTTCCAGGCTCCTCCCAGCATGAAGTCAGTGTTACAGGCAGCCCGGCTGTTGACAGTCTCCATAGGAAACTTTATTGTGATCATTGTGGCAAAGTCTGTTTTTCTGATACAGGTCAAGTTCCAAGTTCTGGATCATGAGTCCAGTGGTTAAAATTATAGTATTGTTCCCTAACGCCTAAGCCTTAGCAGATTCTACATTCTGCTACATATGATTGTACACAGAAGTCTCTATTAAGTGATGTGGTTTTCCATGGGTTCATCCCAGTCAGGTGAATTTGCCAAAAGAAGATTGTAGAGTGGGCATCAGGATAGTGACGGCAGATAGAAACCTGAGAATTGCTTCACCCGTACATTGCTGTCACTCACTGTGGCTGGAGGGTTACTGGCTTGGCAAATGTGAAGGGGGAGCCTGCCTCATGAGATGGAGATCAGTTTGCCCTTCCCTCTGTGAGCAGTTGTAAAAACAGAAGGGTTGGGGCAGCTAGGTGGCACATTGGATAGAACACCTGACCTGAAGTCAGGAGGACCTGAGTTCAAATCCAACCTCATACCAAACACTTGACACTTACTAGCTGTGTGACCCTGGGCAAGTCACTTAACCCCAATTGCCTAAAAGAAAAAAAAACAGAAGAGTCATATGTAGCATGGGCGAAGGGCTGAAGGTCCATACACTGGAGATAAGCTCCCTGTTTTGTCCTTCACTGGTTGCATGATAAGGATGGAATTCATGATTTTCTTGTAATAACCTTGCAAGGTAGGTGGTACAACTATCCTCATTTTATAGATGTCAAAACTTGGGCACAGAGTGGTACCTTATCCAAGGTCAAACAGTTCATGAGTGACAGAAGCAGGATTTTAATTCAGGTCTTCTGAGTCCAAATCCCACACTCTTTCCACTTACACTATGTTACTTCCCACTATGCCACATTCTTATGTGTGCTAGGTAGATGTTCTACCTTTTCTCTAGCTATTCTCCAAACCTGAATATAAAATAGAGGGTTGTCAAATTCTCATATATATATATATATATATATATGTATATGTATATATACATGTATAGGTATATACATGTGTATTTATTTTATAAATACATATACCTATACGTATTTACATGCATATATGTATATAAATATATCTACATGTATTTATATACATATATTTGTATGTATACATAAATACATATATATATACATATATATGCATGCATGCATATATAGTACACACATAATTTTATTTAGGGACAAAGCTGAAAAGGAGATTGTTGTGTGAAAGGGTATGTTAAAGGGTCATGGGCATCATCTCACGTTCTTGCTTCATGGGGAGGGAAGATAGGGATTTCAAAGTGTTCTCTACCACCGCAGCTATTCTGTAAAGTTATAATAGCCATGAAATAGAAGTGTGGAAATGTAGTTGGAGTTTGGGGCCAAACTCTAGGGTTCTCATACCTCTTTTTCTACCCATCACTACATGAATTAGATAAGCTATCTGCTCCTTAAAGGCAGAAAAAAAGAACATTGGTGTGATAGCTTTAGATGTCTTTGTGACAGAATAGAAAGACAGAATCCAAGCACAAAGGCCCAACTTCTCCAATCCCATGGCTCTAGCATGGATTTCCCATCTCTAAGCACAGAGACAAGAGTCTCCCTGATCTTAAAAACCTCTATTAAAGTTATTTCCACAGCTTTTCCTCCTTACCTCTTCCCTATCAGAGATGAGTAACTCTCATGATCAGGCAGTTTATTACATATAAATTGTTATTCAGTTATTTCAGTCGTGTGTGACTCTTCATGATCCCATTTGGGATTTTCTTGGCAAAGGTACCAGGGGTGATTCGCCATTTCTTTCTCCAGCTCATTTTATAAATGAGGAAACTGAGGTAAACAGGGTTAAATGACTTGCCCAGGGTCACATAGCTAGGAAGTAACTGAGGCCTGATCTGAAGTCACAAAGATGAATCTTCCTGACTCCAGGCCTAGCACTCCATTCACTGCATCACCTAGCTGCCCTATCTCTAAATCAGGTGCCTCCAAATGGATTTTTAATCTCATTTTCTCTTATTTAGAACCTAGTGAAGGCAAATAATATTACAGGGGCCTTTTTCTGAGACTTCATAGAACTTTCGTCTTCCCAACATCCCTGTCAGAGGGAGGGACAAAATTTTACTCATGAAAAAACTGGAGCAGAAACAGAGAACCAACATGGTTTCTGAGAAGTGCCCTAGGAAGTGCCTCCAGAGCAGGAGGGCAGAAAGCCTGCCGACGGAGAAGAGCTAGTTTCCTTTTCAGATAGGTGTTTTCTGTCAGGGAAATGAGCTAGTAATACTAGTCTTTTCAGTTACCACTTTGAGAACCATTCTCTGTTTAAAAATTTCTTATTTTTATCCCCAAACTTAACAAACATGAAATAAAATGGGCATTTCCATATACTTAGAAAAGAAGATTGTGGATCTCTGTTGTGTACAGCCATGAGAACCATTTTCATTGAATCTTCCCTGAGACCCCCAAGTTGGGGTTCTTGGAATCATTCTTTTCCCAAACCTCTACTTGGTTTCCTATGGAACCCAGATGGGAATTAACTTGTTTCCTAGGGCTCTCCCCATTTTCCTTAACCACTCTTCCCATGAACCCCACCACAGTGCACATTATGGCTATGTTTTCTAACCAGTTTCTGTCCTTCTCTTTTCTCAGTGGATTGAATTCATCTTCTTTTCTGGCCTTCTGTTTGTCGTCTGCTTTATCTTCTCCATTATGGTGGGCCACTATTACGTTCCCACAAATCAGAGAAAGAAGAAAAACCAGAAGGAATTTCCTGAAGTAGAATCTGAGGATCTCCTTATGACCCAGCAGTTCTAATACTTCCTGGACCTTTTTCCTGTTCTCTGGACCTAATCCCTTATTCTGTCAGTCCCATACAGCATTCCTAGATGGAAACTGTCTCTCTCCAATTGAAGGCTTGGCATAGCCTTCCCTCTGCCAGTGGCATGAGAGGTAATCAGCTCCTGTAGAGGGACAAACCCCAGGGCTTCCAGAAGTGAGCAGCCAAACAAGCCTGAGGAGTCAGCTGGACTTACCCTCACCTCATTGTGCAACCCTGGTAAAGGCCCTGGCCACTCTGTGACTCAGTCTTCTAGTTTGTACAATAAGTACAATAGGTGGCTAAATTCTGGGCAGATAATGACTGCTTTGCTGTCCAAAGGAACATGAAGAACACAATAAAGTGCCCATTAATGGGTTTGTAACTGGCTCTGGAGATTTAGGGGGTTGTGGGGTGAGGGGTGTAAGGGATTCAAGCACAGTTAAGTGGGGACACTTTCATATGTATCAGTCCCTTGCTGCATTTTAATATTAATATTTATTAACGAAGGGTTGTTTTTAGAGGGACCAATCGCAGATAACTGCAGACCTAGTGTTACTATAAGCAGGTAAGCAGCAAGTACTTTGTGCCTAAAGTTGTGGTAGGCCCTTTGCGGAATACAGGTTGGGTAAGAAGGCTTGCCCTCTGGAAGCTTAAAATCTAGGTAGGCATTCAAAACAAATGTGTGTGTGTGACCTTGGCCATCACTTTCTATGTTTGGGTTTGCCAAGCTGGCTCTTCAGAGGCTATTTCTTTCTAAACACTATGCCTTAGTTTGAATAGCTTTTACTATATGAATAATGGTAGCTGATTATGGCTAGGTGAACCAATTGGCCTAGCTTGTCTAACCATGAAGTTGTAAAACATAGAACATATCAGCATTTACACCAACCAATTAGGCTTTTTATTTAAAAAAAAACTATTGAAATAAGTATCAACTAATCACTAAATTCTAGCATTCGCATGAAAAATTTAAAAGAAAGGTACAATTTAGAGTAAGATTAAAATTATACATAGCATGGTACTTTTCTCCCTAAACTCCAACTCTTAAACATGATTTTTTCCTAAAAGGAAAGCTAAAAAAAACTTTCTTGCAATTGAAAGACTTAACACCACAGTTCCACAGAGCATAGTTTCAGAAATGCTGATTTAGAGAACCATGTAGGGACTGACTGTGGGTACATTAGGAATTCAGAGAAAAGAATGATCAATGTGGGTTGGAATAGCCAGAGAAGTCTTCCTGGAAGAAGTGGGATATAGCCTGAAGCCACTGACAGGGCTGAGCTTACAGGGATGTATCAATGGTTTGTAGTGAGAATTCAAATTCTGGGAAAGTATTGTAAGCATTGGGGTTCATTTTGGGGGTACCTATGAAAACTAGGTTTGGGGTATTCTGGACTCATAAGTTGTTGATTACTCAGGGACCCTGCTTCTAGGGTCCATAAAAGAGGCTAGGAGTGAAAAGGAAATGAATTCGTATATAAGTGGAAAACAAATTAGAATATTTCTCTGATATTAGCTAGGAAAGTTCTCTTTGAACTCTTTCCAGAGTACTCAGGTGGTACCATCTAGCTTCTTTACTGTACCAAATTCTCAAGCAATGGGATAGCAATATTACTGGAATGAATACAGTGGTTCTGGAAAAATGTGTTCAAATGAAAAGACCACTGGGCCAAGAATCAAGAGAATTGGCCTCTAGGTGCATTTTTACCACTGACCAGCATTGTGATCTTAGGTAGGTAATTTAGTACCTCAGTTTTTGTATCCATCAAGTGGTAATAGTGATGTCTGCCCTGGTTACTTAAAAGTTCATTGTTTATACATCTGTTCCCCCTAACCCCTCAAAATGCAACAACCACCACTCAGTGCTCTGAGTCATCTTTCATTTCTCCCTCTGTTATCCAGTCTCACAAGTTTTCTCAATTCTTACTTAGTAATCTCTCTTGAATTTGTTCTATCCTGTTTCTATTTCAGTTATGACCAAACTACTACAGGCAAGCTCTCATGACCACACACGCCTGGACCCTTCAACTCCCAACATCATTCCACCTGATTTCCCTACTCCCTGTCCCTCACCACTCCAATAAATCATGCACATTTCAGAGTAATTTTCCTAAAACATCTTGTCACTCTTTTTGCTCATCATCTATAATGACTTCCCATTGCCTACTATTTCAAGTCTTAAAATCATCTTAGTATTTAAGATGTTCAAGAATTGGGCCCCACTCTGCCTAATCAGCATATCGCCTGGTGCATAGTAGGCTCTTTAAAATGCTTGCTAACCAGCACTGACCCTGCAGTCAGGAGGACCTGAGTTCAAATCCAGCCTCAAACACTTACTAGCTGTGTGATACTGGGCAAGTCACTTAACCCAGATTGTCATACACACACACACACACACACACACACACACACACACACACACACACACACACACACACTGCTTGTTAACTGGCTAAACTTTATTTCAAAACACTCTCTAACATGAACACTTTGCCTTTCCTCCTACCCCAGACTAAAATAATCTCCTCCATATACCTTTCACTCTCTTGTGTGCCTTTACATACCTTTCCTCATGACATCATTCTTCCTAAAATTACCACCTGCTGACACCTCCATTGAAACTGCTTCTCCTGGAGGAGGGGAAAATCACATAGTGAGAGTCTTAAGATGTTCTTCACATCTACATACATACTATTCATACTTCAGGCCTTTACTCAAGCCACACTTATTCAAGGAAGATTTTTCTAATTACTCATTGTTCTCTCCTCTTCTTGGCCACCCCTAACTCTTTCCATCTATGTTGTTTATCTTGTCATTTGTCACATTATTATTCAATTGCTTCTTGTGTATAGGTCATCACAATGAGACTGTAAACCATTGGGGAGGAGGCTTCTTCTATACAATGCACATAATAAATCCTTTTTTTTTTTAAACTAAAGAAAAGCTGAGTAATCCCTGATAAGAGTCAATAAGGCTAGATAAAGTAAGCAGTAGAAAGCTTTTCTATTTCTAGTTTTGAGTGGCATCAGAGTGGAGTCATTTCAGGAGTCATCAGGGACAGTCTCCCAGAGGAATAGTCATAGGCAAAGCCGTCATTGAGCCTCCAGGCCTGAGGGTGAATGAGGATACAATGTATTTCCATATTGTTATTTGAAGGTAAATTAACCTAGTTGGGGATGGAGATGGGGATAATGGGAGAGAAGGGATGAGTGATGATAGATTTCTGACAAGTAGGACTTAAAGAGATTAGAATGTTGATAATTTTATTGCACATTGGGAGATAAGGGGACTAGAAAATTATGAGTCACTGCAGTATTTCTTCAGTGAGCATGGTTCCACTTAAACAGTTATTAAGCATATTCTGAGGCTATGAAGGCAAACATGAAAGTCTCTGTCCTTGTGGAGATCAGCATACAATATATACACAAATAAATATAAGATAATTTGAGGAGAGAAAAAATATGAACTACTGTAGGGAATATAACCCTTCAAATCAATTAAACCTTTATGTAGTATTTCAGAGCACAGTGCTAAATGTTGGGACATACAGTGATAAATAACACAGTCCATACCTTTGAAGAGTTTACAATTTGGTGTATGTTTATGTGTGTGCCCGTGCGTGTGTGTGTAATACATACACAAGTAACACACAAAATGAAACAAATGTTCAAGAAAAGTATAGAGTCTTATGGGAAGAATGAAAGGGAAATTTTATACACAACTGTAGGAAAGACTTTAGGAAGACAATCTTTGAGTTAATATCTTCAGCAACAAATAGAATTTCAATAGGCAGAGGTAGGTGTGGGACAGGGACAATTTAGATGTGTTTTAAAGGCAAGCACGAATCTCTGCTTACCTTGTGCTTAGGAATGGTAGTTACTATGTTTAAGGTGCTAAAAGGATCGGCAGATTTGATTGCTGGGCCAATCTCAGTGGTCTTTGAAAAACCATGGAGGATCCAGAGAGGTAGGTACCACAACACTGTAGAAGGGCAAATGTCCCAGTTTTCAAAAAAGAGATTCCTGACAAAATTCTAGACTGTGTTGTTAAAGGAGTGATTAGTAAATAGTTAAAAGAAGAAGCAGTAATCACAAAGAATGAGGTTAATCTAATTTCCCTTTTCTCTGTGGTTACTAAGTCAGGGAAATGCTGTATAGCTTACCTGGATATTAGCAAAGCAAAGCAAAGTTTCTAATGCTATTCTTAAAGAATTGGAAAAGTGGGGACTAGATGATAGTATAATTAAATGGGTTCAGAAGTAGCTGAATGGCCTCATTAAAGAGCAGTCATTAATGGTTCAACACTGACTTGAAAGGAACCTTCCAATGGAATATTCAAGGCATCTGTGTTTGATCCTTGTGGCAGGGCCATAAAAACATACATATCTGTATATCTGTATATTCATATATATATATATATATACACACATCTGTACACATACAATATGTGCATACACACAAATACACACATACACAAAACATCTATACATACATATGGGCAGCTAGGTGGTACAGTGGATAGAGTGCCAGAACTGGAGTTAGGAAGACTAGAGTGCAAATCTGGTTTCAAATACTTCCTAGGTCACTTAACACAGTTTGCCTCAGTTTCCTCATCAGTAAAGTGAGCTGGAGAAGGAAAGGGCAAAACATTCTAGTACCTTTGTCAAGAAAACCCCAAATGGGGTCATGAAGAGTTGGACAGGACTGAAAATAACCAAACAACACATACATATGGATATAATTGTTATAGCATGGCATAGTGGACTCTTTTTTTTTTTTTTTGGCTAGGCAATGGAGTTAAGTGACTTGCCCAGGGTCACGCAGCTAATAAGTGTTATGTGTCTGAGGCCGGATTTGAACTCAGGTCCTTCTGAATCCAGGCCCAGTGCTCTATCTACTAGGCCACTTAGCTGTCCCATAGTGGGTTCTTAATAAATGCTTATTACCTTGGCTTGTTGACTTTTATCTGTAAGAGCCAAGCTTCTTTCCTGTATGTAAATGAATTCATATTGCTTGCTAGAGAATTTTGCATTTGTAGGTAGCTAATATTGTCAGACTAAGGCCTTTTTCTTCTTAACATTAGAATCTTCATATAGGTTTTCCACATCTTCCAACCCTTCAAATACTATCTAAATCATCATTCACATGTAAAATCCGAAGGAGAAAGCAGTTGCTCCTAAAGCCATTGTTTTCTGCTAGGAAGCCAGCTTCAAGGCCATCCCCCAGGCAGTGGTCAAATTTGAACAAGAAAAAATTCCTTAGAATACTTTGTTTTCCCTCTTACATTTAGCTATTTTGTTCTTACTTTCCTAAATTGATTGGAAGATACCTCCTTGTCTGAAAAACTGTGATAATGCTCAGTTCAACCCAAAAGATTTTCAT